CGAGCAAGAGGCGGCTACCTGACCTGACGTGGACACCTGAGCAGACGCAGCGACCTGAGGAGGCTCGGTAGCCAGTGTGTACAGACTCGACCCTGGCCGACGAGTGAACGTAGCCAGGTGACGCCCCGTCCACGTGCACGTGCGAATCGACACACGCTGACCCCCAGGAGTGGTGGTAGTGACCATCGCATCCTGAAGGGCAGCGGTACTTACCAAGTTCGTAGAGAACGAGGGGAGGTGAAGACCTGACAGTGAGCCGAACGGAACCGCCGGACACGGGAGGACAGTGGAGGAACTGGCAACGACCGGGCCCCCAGAGGGGTCAGCCAGTCTGACTGGAACAGGTGCAGGAAGAGGAGTGAGAGTGGTGCTGTCACGAAAGAAACAGCGCGAGGCGCCGGAATCTAACGTGAAGGTGTGCAGGGCCTCAGCAGACGCAGTACCAGGGGGAGTACCAGACGCACTAGCACCTAGAGCAGCAGCGGCTATACCTGGGTCAGGCGGCACACACCAGTAACAGTGACCCTCAGCACTAAAAGACAAAGCATACATGGCAGAGATAATAACATCAAAGTCTAGGTCAAAGATGGCAACTCCCGACCTAAGCAACTCCGCCCAGCGAGGGCGCTCGACGTTATCACCAAACTCAGTGCGCCAGGCGTCGTCAAGGCGGGCAAAGCAGTGGCGCTCAGTGTGAAACCGCCCGCATGTCTTGCCCGCACGGGCACCCGTGCGAATGACATACGGGCAGGTCTCACTACCCTCGCCCGCCCCACGCTGAACCAACCACTCACGGAGCTGCTGAGGCGTCTGAGTCTCGCTCCGACGCTGCTGCTGCTGGCCCCGACCGCCACCAGAGCCTCCACGCTGAGGTCCAGACCGACCACCACTGGTCCCACTGCCTCCACTGCCGCTACCCCCTCCACTGCCTCCACCACCGCCACCAGAGCCTCCACCTCCGCCACCGGTCCCACCGCCGCCACCACCTCCACCGCCTCCGCCTCCTCTACCGCTGCCCCCACTGCCACGCCCACTGCCACCTCCACCACCACCGCTGCCTCCTCCACTACCCCGGCCACCCTTGCCCTTGCTGTTGCAGCGCTTCGTACTAGTCGAAGCAGCACCGACGTCCTCAGGAACAGAGACGTCTGCCGCAGCAGTAGAGGCGAAGGAGGAGGAAAGGGGGGAGGGGGAGCACCCCTCAAAGAAGGGTGAGCGCGGGGTGCCACGAGCAGCACCTACAGCAACTGCACTAGTCTCAGCTGCGAGGAGATGCTGCTCGAGGAGGTCAACAGTGAGGGAAGTGGGGTCGAGGGTGAGGAAGTGGTCCCTGACAGAGCGAAGGGAGTCAGGGAGGCGAGTGACTATGAAGTAGAGGGTGATGAACATGGGGGGCTGGTTCGTAGGAAGGAACTCAGCAGGAACGGTAGCGCGGTAGCGAGCGTCGCTAGTGCGCAGGTGGGTAACCAGGTCCGCTACTGTGGCAAAAGCCGACAGCTCAGGGAACAGGTAGGGCAGTAGCAGTCTGCCAAGAGCAGCAGTGGCAGGGGAGGAGTAGCGAGCAACGACAGCGTCGTACAAGGCCTGTGCTGTCCTGTGCTCGCCAAAGTGAGCACATTCTGTTGCGGGCAGGTGGTTGCGAATGGCCAAGCGGGCAGTAGCGTCACGAGACAGCCACTGGGAACGAGTCGAAACGTCAGCTGTGGCGGGAGGGGCTGGAGCGGCACCGGACACGTGGTCAAACGGTGAGACACTGTCCCGACTGTCGCTCAGTAGGTACAGTTGCAGATCGTCGTGCCACGTGTCAAATGCTACAGGTCTACCCTCCGGGTCGAACGGGAGAACTCGAAGCGACGCCATAGGGGCCGAGGAGCCTGGGGGGCCGCGGGGCCAAACACGAGGCCGGGGGTCTAGGGGAGCCGAGAGGCCTAGGGGGCCGAGGGGCCAAACAAGGGGCCGGGGGGGGGGCAGGCGCCGGTCTCTGAGGTGGGGCCGAGTGGCCTAGAGGCCGCGGGGCCAAACAAGGGGCCGGGGGGGGCCTAGGGGGGCCGAGGGGCCTAGGGGGCCGAGGGGCCAAACAAGGGGCCGGGCACCGGTCTTTGCGGTGGGGCCGTGGGGCCTAGGGGCCGCGGGGCCAAACAAGGGGCCGAGGGGCCTAGGGGGGGCCGAGGGGCCTAGGGGGCCGAGGGGCCAAACAAGGGGCCGAGGGGCCTAGGGGGCCGAGGGGCCAAACAAGGGGCCGGGGGGGGGGCCGGGCGCCAGTCTCTGAGGTGGGGCCGAGGGGCCTAGGGGCCGCGGGGCCAAACAAGGGGCCGAGGGGCCTAGGGGGGCCGAGGGGCCAAACAAGGGGCCGAGGGGCCTAGGGGGGGCCGAGGGGCCAAACAAGGGGCCGAGGGGCCTAGGGGGCCGAGGGGCCAAACAAGGGGCCGGGGGGCCGGGCGCCAGTCTCTGAGGTGGGGCCGAGGGGCCTAGGGGCCGCGGGGCCAAACAAGGGGCCGAGGGGCCTAGGGGGGGGGGCGAGGGGCCTAGGGGGGCGAGGGGCCAAACAAGGGGCCGAGGGGCCTAGGGGGCCGAGGGGCCAAACAAGGGGCCGGGGGGGGCCGGGCGCCAGTCTCTGAGGTGGGGCCGAGGGGCCTAGGGGCCGCGGGGCCAAACAAGGGGCCGAGGGGCCTAGGGGGCCGAGGGGCCAAACAAGGGGCCGAGGGGCCTAGGGGGGGCCGAGGGGCCAAACAAGGGGCCGAGGGGCCTAGGGGGCCGAGGGGCCAAACAAGGGGCCGGGGGGCCGGGCGCCAGTCTCTGAGGTGGGGCCGAGGGGCCTAGGGGCCGCGGGGCCAAACAAGGGGCCGAGGGGCCTAGGGGGGGGGGGCGAGGGGCCTAGGGGGGCGAGGGGCCAAACAAGGGGCCGAGGGGCCTAGGGGGCCGAGGGGCCAAACAAGGGGCCGGGGGGGCCGGGCGCCAGTCTCTGAGGTGGGGCCGAGGGGCCTAGGGGCCGCGGGGCCAAACAAGGGGCCGAGGGGCCTAGGGGGCCGAGGGGCCAAACAAGGGGCCGAGGGGCCTAGGGGGGGCCGAGGGGCCAAACAAGGGGCCGAGGGGCCTAGGGGGCCGAGGGGCCAAACAAGGGGCCGGGGGGCCGGGCGCCAGTCTCTGAGGTGGGGCCGAAGGGCCTAGGGGCCGCGGGGCCAAACAAGGGGCCGAGGGGCCTAGGGGGCCGAGGGGCCAAACAGGTACAGGGCCAGGCGCTGGGCAGGTACAGGGCCTGGCGCTGGGCAGGTACGGGGCCTGGCGCTGAGCAGGTACGGGGCCGGGCGCTGGGCAGGTACGGGGCCGGGCGCTGAGCAAGTACGGGGCCGGGCGCTGGGCTAGGTACGGGGCCGGGCGCAGGCAAGAGACGAGGCCGGGCGCTGGGCGGAGGACGGGGCCAGGCGCGGGCTAGGTACGGGCCGGGCGACGGGCTAGGTACGGGCCGGGCGACGGGCTAGGTACGGGCCGGGCGACGGGCTAGGTACGGGCCGGGCGCGGGCGACGAAGTCGACGGGGCCAGCGGGGCCGAGGCGATGGTCTAGGTACGGGCCGGGCGACGGGCTAGGTACGGGCCGGGCGTTGGGCTAGGTACGGGCCGGGCGACGGGCTAGGTACGGGCCGGGCGCGGACGACGAAGTCGACGGGGCCAGCGGGGCCGAGGCGACGGGCTAGGAACGGGCCGGGCGACGGGCTAGGTACGGGCCGGGCGACGGGCTAGGTACGGGCCGGGCGTCGGGCTAGGTACGGGCCGGGCGTCGGGCTAGGTACGGGCCTGGTGACGGGCTAGGTACGGGCCGGGCGCGGGCGACGAAGTCGACGGGGCCAGCGGGGCCGAGGCAACGGGCTAGGTACGGGCCGGGCGACGGGCTAGGTACGGGCCGGGCGACGGGCTAGGTACGGGCCGGGCGTCGGGCTAGGTACGGGCCGGGCGCGGGCAGGAGACGAGGCCGGGCGCGGGCTAGGTACGGGCCGGGCGCGGGCGACGAAGTCGACGGGGCCAGCGGGGCCGAGGCGACGGGGCCAAGGGGCCGAGCCTAGGGGCTAGGGGCGACGCCAAGGGGCCGAGCCTAGGGGCTAGGGGCGACGCCAAGGGGCGACGGGCCGAGGCCTAGGCGAGCAGGGTAGTAGGTGGTGGGCCCATTAACATTAGGTCATATGACTAATTGCTCTTAATACCATGTGAGAATAGTAGGCGAGGATGGTTAGACTAGGAAAAGGGAAGGGGTACAAGTAGAATATCGAGAGAAATTTGTACCCCCTAAGGCTAAACCCACTATAACCTAGACAACAATGAACACATAAACTAAGCCTAGATATGACTAAGCATATATGTTTGACATATTTCGTAGGGTCGCGACTCACAAGGCCCCAAGTTGGCACTGTTTCTGCTAACCCGGGGCCCCAGTCTGATCAATTCCCGAAACAATAAGCGATCTGGCTATTCTAGAACGAAATAAAAATCTGGGCACTTCAAAATCGAAAACATCTCGATCAAATGAAGTGGGTGTCACGTGAAGACACACGCTTGAAATTTCCAACTCAATATAAAGCTGACACATTTCATGAGCATAATGAGTCAAATGCAGAACAACGCGACTGAACCACAACCCCTCTATAGAAAAATCACTATTTTGTATTTTATATAACATTGTTAACTTACTACTGATAAAATATTTTGTTTAACTTGATCACTACTAAAAAATTATGGAGTAGTACCTATGGTTTTTTGTTAGCGATAACAAGAAGAACTTATTGCATGGCCTATGTGAATACAACGTACATTTTCCCCTACAATCATATTAATGTTATGTACGGTGGTAAAATTATACGCAACCCTTACGACGTTCACGTCGAATCTTGTTCGTTCAGCCATTCCTCAGATTCCCTTATCTTCCAGTCTTTCCTGCTTGGGAGCCTTCGGCTGACGTTCCTTTCAGAAAGACTACTCCTAAACGGCTTCGTGCACGTACAATACCACCATGTCTAAGAAGAGCGTTAGCTCGTTGACGGAGGCTGACCTCAAGGGTAAGAGGGTGTTTGTCAGGGCTGATCTGAACGTCCCTCTAGCCCGCGATACGATCACTGACGACACGCGCATTCGCGCGGCCATTCCCACCATCAAGTACCTGACGGAGAAGGGTGCTAAGGTTCTTCTCGCGACCCACTTGGTGAGTCTTAAGAAACCATGTGTTAAATGCCATTTTTAAGCCATTCTTGAAGCAAGCCTGAAAGCACGTTTCTGCAGTGGTGTTCGTTGTTCACTTAATCGATATCCAGCATGTTTTAGCAAGGGTTTTTCCTTTCTCTTCATTAGTTATTTCGGCCTTGGTGTCATATTGCCACTCTTGCATTGTTCGACCTCTCCTGCCGTCTCATTCTTTTCCGTCCTCTCATTATCCTGTTTTTTCAGGGCCGTCCTAAGGGCGTTACTGAGAAGTACCGCCTGACACCCCTCGTTCCTCGGCTCTCAGAGCTTCTTGGCCAGGAGGTCAGTGTTGAACCACTCTCTCCATTGTTCAGTCTGATAAGCTTTTCTGAATCTTATGCAAACTATCCAACGCCGTAACGATAATAAACGCGAACACCAGAACATCTTATAGCGCGGCAGCATTTGCACATGACCACCTGTTTCCTTCTCCTCCAACCGCAGTAACTTAAGATATTCTTTTATCTTATTCTTTTTCCCGTGCGCCATGAGCAGGTGAAGAAGGTCGACGACTGCATTGGCGAGGCCGTCGAAAAGGCCGCCTCGGATCTCGAGGAGGGTCAGGTGCTGCTGCTCGAGAACGTGCGGTTCCACCCCGAGGAGGAGAAGAACGACCCCGAATTCGCGCAGAAGCTCGCGGCGAACGCGGACCTCTACGTCAACGACGCGTTCGGCACGGCGCACCGCGCGCACGCGTCCACGGAGGGCGTGACCAAGTTCCTGAAGCCGTCCGTTGCGGGGTTCCTCCTTCAGAAGGTGCGTCCAAGTGTGACTTCACGTTTGAGCAGTAATCTTCATCTGTGCTTCCCCACGTGCAAGCAACCTTGAAGCTAAGTATGTAACCGCATCTCCTTGAGTTGTGCGTGTCTTCCGTTCTTTTTGCTTGTTTCCTTTTCCTGCACCAGAAATGCCTTGGTATAAAAAACACACGCTTTATTCCATGCTTTTTAAGCGAGCGGCCACTGTTATATGTGGTTGTGTTTCATATTCTGCTGTTTCCCTCGCATTGCTCGCCACTGCCATACTTTTCCTTCCTCAGGAGCTGGACTACCTGGTTGGAGCCATTGCTGACCCCAAGCGGCCGCTGGTGGCGATCGTGGGTGGATCTAAGGTGTCTACCAAGATTTGCGTGCTTGAATCTCTCCTTAACAAGTAGGTTATCCGTTTCGGTCACATGTTGCAGCTCGTCTTGAGAAAATTTCAGTCATGGTGACTGTATAGAATTCGGCACAGCTGATCTAGTTCGTGGGTGGATCCCGGCTGGGATCCCTGCTTAACGACCCGTTTCCAAGGTGACCTTTGAGTCACTGAAAGGTCATTCTTTGACTCGTCTCAAGATGTCCACCAAATTGGTCTCTTTGTAACGAGTAAATATTCCGTTTCAACTCGTGTTGAGGTTGTTTCCAGTTATTGCGTAGTTGGCTTCATGACCGGCCCGGTGGTATGGGGTATCAAGCAACTAAGATCATCGTGAAGGTGCTCTTAGACCTGTAAGTCCAAAGATCTGCCACGTAATTTCACACTCGACTACGACAAAGGGCTCATATCCCAATGCCCCCTTTCTGCATCCTTCTCCCCCTTCCCCTCTCTTCCTCCCCCCCTCTCGACAGATGCAACGCGCTGCTGCTGGGCGGCGGCATGATCTTCACGTTCTACAAGGCGGAGGGCAAGTCTGTCGGAACATCGCTGGTGGAGGAGAGCCAGGTGGAGCTGGCGCGCAGCCTCATCCAGATGGCCAAGGAGAAGGGCGTCGAACTGTACCTGCCCTCGGACGTCGTAGTCGCGGATAAATTTGCCCCTGATGCCGAGTCCAAGGTGAGATCGCTGGGGCTGGAGGGAAGGGAGGGAGGGCGGGATGTAGGTGGGTGATGTGCTGGGAGGAAGGGATAAGGGTGCTGGGACGAGGGTGGAAGGGTGCTGGGAGGGGGGAGGAAGGTGCTGGGAGGGGGGTAGAAGGGTGTTTGTGGCGAAAAGGGGAGGGTGATGGGGCTAGGGAAGAAGGGTGCTGGAAGGAGGTTAAAGTGCGTGCTAAGTTGAGACACCCCATCTCCAGGTGCTCAAGCCATCCCAGATTGCTGCGTGGGGCTGGTTATTGACCCAGGCAGCATCAGTACCTGGTCTGATGTAATCATTGAATGCAGAGCTAATATGCTAAGCGTCCGTTCAAACATCTGCGTCGCTCCTCTCTCCGCCCCTCTTTCCTCCATCCCGTTCCTTCTCCAGACGGTTCCATCATACGACATTCCGGACGGCTGGATGGGTCTGGACATTGGTCCGGACAGCATCGGTAAATTCTCTCATGTGATCAGTGGTGCCCAGACCATCATCTGGAACGGCCCCATGGGCGTCTTTGAGTTTGATCAGTTCGCCAAGGGAACCATTGTGAGTGCTGCAGCTGGCAATGTCGTATGCACAGGTTCTTTTGATACGTCTCAGAAGTTCTCTGTTGTGATCAGTGGTGCTGGGACCATCATTTGGAATGGCCCCATGGGCGTATTAGAGCTTGAAACTTTGCCAACGGGACCAATGTGAGTGCTGCTGCTGGCAATGGCGTACATGCTCGCACAGCATGGGTGCCGCGGTGGCAACCACTCACCACCTTTACATGCTGGTGAACGGCGTGTTTGCATCTCACCCAAAATCAATAACCCAAACCTACTGTCATGTGCCCAGTCTTAGCGTTCCCTCTATTCCCCTCGTTTATTACTTCGTGAATTCCAGGCGATTGCTGAGGCGCTCGCAGAAGCGACAGCCAAGGGTGCCACGACCATCATTGGAGGGGGTGACAGCGTGGCAGCAGTGGAAAAAGCAGGAGTGGCTGACAAGATGAGCCACATCTCGACAGGTGGCGGTGCGTCATTGGAGCTGCTGGAGGGTAAGGTGCTCCCTGGCGTTGCTGCCCTTGATGAGGCGTGATTAATTAGTGCTGTGCAGCAGAAATCCAACTGCTTACATAGTTGCTTATAGTCAATGCAGAGGATAAGGTGTGGACATTTGTTACATGTAACATGTCTTAGCACATTTCTATGAATGCTACGTCTTGACATGTAATGTCTGGTTTATGTAGTGATTTCAGGTGATAGCTTCATCAAAGAGAGTCAATTGGACATTATGACCCTGTATGCTCCTACCGAAACTACACCTGAGCGAATGTATGAGTTCAAATCTGCATGAGCACCTCCCTGAGTGTGCCCTCCCTGCAGGATAAGCCCCAGCGCTTATCACCAACTAAAGTGGTAGTGATTGAGATCAGATTATAAGCCCCATCCCCTTTTGTAGAAAGTTTACATACTGGTACCGTATTCTCCCGGACATAACACCCTAGGGTATAGCTAAAAATACAGGGAAAAAATGGGGGGGGTCTCCTCATAGGAAAAAAATACATAATACCCGGGTCTTATTATATTGCACATTTTTTTATAAGCAGAAATGAATGGAAACAAAAACAGGGGTCTGGCCTTGTTATTATTTTTAAAATCAGGGCCGCCAAACCGCGTCTACGAGGATAACGTCGGCCTCCACTGGAATCTGCCACATGGCAAATTCCAGTGGGCCCACTGTGCCACCTGATTGGTTGACATCAGTGCCAACCTCGCGCAGCTTGGGTTCATGCAGTACGAGGCCGGAATCGCGCACGGTGCTGTGTTGTCACTGTACCTGTGACCCCTTGACTGCCGTGTACGGTAGTCATGTCCAAGCTTCCTCACCCAAGCTTGCTCTTCTCTTCGTCAAGCGGTTCCAGTGCACGTCTTTGACAAGTGCTCGGCAGGCTGTGAGAGCGTCTCCTTCCTGTGCACGAGGGTATCGTCTTTAAAGTCATTTCTCCCATGGCGAGTGACATCGACCTGCCTTAGTTCCCAAGCATGGCTTCATCTCCAGATTCTAGCAGTACGGTAGATAGGCGGCAGCGGCCTGTTTCCACCAATCAGACTAGCGCTTATGCACGCGCACGGACGTCTCCTCGCCCGATCTTTCCTCAGCCGGATGCTCCCGGTAGTGCTTCTACCAGGGATGAACCGAGCAGTAGCTTGGACCGTCCTCGCCCTACCCTTCCTCGAGTGGTTGTCCCCACGTTCCCGGAGCGGAACCGCCCGCAGGGACAGCAGAAGCGCAACGCCGATGCTGACCCGCCATCCCCTCGCCATCGCATGACGAAACGCCAGCGCAAGGGAATCACCGCGAAGGAGAAGCTCCACTGGTTGAAGATGCAGGACTCGCAGCCCGACCTGTCGAATCGCGCCCTGGCGAAGCTCGCGAAGGTGCAGCCATGCCAGATCCGCGATTGGAAGAAGATGAGGGAGCGGCTGGAGGTCTCTTCCAGCTGCCGTCGTCGCCTCATGGGAGCTGGCCGCAAGTCCAAGTTCCCTTTCATGGAACGGGCGGTCTACCGCCAGTTCCTCAAGCACAGGGGGAGGGGGCTCGCCGTTTCGGTCAGCATGCTCCAGAAGTGGAGCGCCAAGTACATGAAGCACCGGATGCCCGGGGTCAACTGGCGCGCATCGTTCCGCTGGGCGACTCGTTTCCGCGCGCGCTGGCATCTGGCAAGGCGGGTGAAGACGAAGATGGGACAGAAGTTGGCAGCGGGTAAGTGTTGCGCCGTCGTGCTCCTTGATTGCCATCTCAGTGCTGAGCTAATGTGTCTCGTGGCTTTGCTTGCAGATTGCAAGGCCAAGGTGGAGTCCTTCTGGGAGTTTGTGCGCCAGATGCGCTCTCTGCACGACTACCCGCTTGACCTCATCTTGAACGCGGACCAAACCCCGCTTTTCCTGGAGATGCCGGCGGAGCGCACGCTCGAAATGAAGGGAGCGCGGACGGTTCACGTACGGATTGCGGGCTATGAGAAGGAGCGTGTTACTGTCATGCTGGCAGTAACTGCGAGCGGGCTCAAGCTGCCGCCGTACGTGGTGTTCAAGCGCAAGACCATACCGAAGGTGCCCATCCCTGCCGGTAAGCGTAGCACGTTTAGGATGATGTCACTACTCTAGCCTGTCAACAGTCGCAACCGAATTTGACCCTGACGTACCGGTATTCTTTGGCAGGTGTGGTGGTCCGTGCACAAGACAAAGTGTGGATGGACGAATCACTTGTGCAGGACTGGATCACCCAGGTGATGGTGCCGTTTCTGAAGCCCTTGCGTGAATCAACTGGACGCCGCAGGGAGGCCTTGGTTGTGCTCGACTCCTACCGCGGCCACTTGACTGAGGCGGTCGGGCAGACCATGCGGATGTTTCGGCTGTCACGGGCTGTCATCCCAGGGGGCTGCACCCCGCTAGTGCAGCCTCTGGATGTGTCGATAAACCGCGCGTTCAAGTGCGGTGTGCGTCATCGCTACAGCAGCTGGTTCGAAGAAGAAGGAATCAACACCACCACCAAGGGCGGTGAGTTGAACCATGACATTCGCATGCGTGACTTTTAATCAATGTCAGCTTACGCTCTGGAAATTCACATTCGTCCTTGTCTACCCTTCCCCGTCCCTCAGGCAATCTCAAGAAGTCGCCAGCGGAGTTGGTGCTCCGCTGGATCGATGAGTCCTGGGAAGCAATCCCAGAGGAGCTCGTGAAGAAGGCGTTCGTCACGTGTGGGATCTCCACCCCCATCGATGGCAGCGAGGACCACCTCATCCTTGCCCACATGCGGGACAAGGGTGAGGTGGAAGTTCTTGACGACGTCAACGACCTGGTTGACGACGAGCTCGTCGTCAACCCCTTCTACGCCGAAGTCCCCATGCCGGCCGAGGTGCTGCAGGCGGCGGCAGAGGAGGCTGACGCCGCTGAGGAGGACGCGGAAGCGGCGGCGGCAGAGGAGGAGGGGGGCGTGCTTGAGGAAGGCGGGGAGGCAGAAGAGCCCAGCGATGACGAATGGTGGCGCCCTGGCCGCTTTGACGGGGAAGACTGTGAAGAATGGCATGCAGGAGACGATTCTGAGTAGAAGGCACTTTGTATAGAGTTTTTTTAGGTGAAATTGTGGATGTGAGGTGCTCTTGTGGTGATGTTTCTGCAGTCTAGGTGACATTGTCGATGCCTATGTGCTGGCACATTACTTCTGTAGTACCGGTACCTGTAAAGTACCCTGTATGCAATGTACAGTAAGCAAATTCAGTATTTTTGCCGCCCATAACACCCCCCCCCCCCCCGGGTCTTATAGAGAATCAGGCAAAAAGGGGGGTATAGTAGAAACGAGGCTCCCCATAACACCCACCCCGCACAAGCTACCCGGGGGTGTACAATTATGGGGGGGTGTTTTGTCCGGGAGAATACGGTAACTGGATTATATCGTGAAACTGTTGGAAGCCATCCTCTCCCAGCCACCTTCCATTGGCAGAACCTGCTGAATCTTGTCGTATGGTACATCCCAAACAGCCCTCAAGGCAACATTGTTGTATCCATCGCTCCCAGCAATGGAAAAGAGCAGCAGGACTAGAGTAAGGTGAGGTATGAAGCCAAGACACAGTTCAAAGCGCCATCCTCTCCCACCCGCCCACCATCAGCAGAAGTTGCTGAGTCTTGTCGTACATCCCCAGCAGCCCTCCCGTATGTACAAACAAAACTCGCCGCCCCGCCCATTTGTCTGGATTCTGCCTCATGTCCTGTAGCAATCCCCTGAGGGCCTTGCCACTTTGGGGAGGAGGGATGGGAGAGGGAAGAGGAGAGAGAGGGGGGAGGGGAGGCGGGGATCAGTTATGGCTTTAAGGCCACATAGACAAATACACTTAAACGGACATACCTGTACACCGGGTCGAGCACAATGGCAGTGCAGTTAGGCATATAGTCACGTATAAATACAGTATTACAAAAATGTACACATAGACGTATACACTTCAACGTACATACCGTATTCTCCCGGACAAAACACCCCCCCATAATTGTACACCCCCGGGTAGCTTGTGCGGGGTGGGTGTTATGGGGAGCCTCGTTTCTACTATACCCCCCTTTTGGGCTGATTTTCTATAACACCCCCCTTTTCTTACGAATTCGTTATAATAGTCGTTAACGAGTAGCTGCAATATTGAAGAATATCGCGAAAATTTCTCCCTAGATGAAATTTCGCGGCACATTCACTTACAATCTACCGAGATTTCCCCCCTTGCACTACTTCGCTGTGACCACGTGCAGGCGAATCTTCCGCTGCAAGTGGCAAGAGAGGTGCCACATGGCATTTTCGTGGGGGTGATGAAGCTCGTGGCCGAAACCCACATTCGCGCCTCAGACAGTGATGTTAAAATGAAAATCAAAACACCCACATTGTCTAATTAAATAAACACTAACACTAAAATATACCATATGTAAAGACCCGGGTATTATGTATTTTTTTCCTATGAGGAGACCCCCCCCATTTTTTCCCTGTATTTTTAGCTATACCCTAGGGTGCTATGTCCGGGAGAATACGGTACCTGTAGACTGGGTCGAGCATTATGCTGGTGCTCTGAGCCACATAGACGCATAATAACACGGTAATTAACATCTTTACACGCACACTTATACAATTTAACACACATACCTGTAGACTGGGTCGAGCACTATGCCGGTGCTTTGAGCCACGGACTGTACCAGCCGAAGCTCCTCCTCCGTGCTTATAGCGTAGCCTGCGCCCTTCACCTGCTCATGCGGTCAGATTCACATATGGGTATACAGGCACGTATGGAAGCATAGACACATATGAATGCACACAGGGACACAGACCCTATCGCCACTGCACCAGCTGTAGCTCCTCCTCCATGCTGATAGCGTAGCCTGCCCCCTTTCACCTGCTCACATGCACACACACAGGGAGACAGAAACATATGAGTACACAGAGGGACACAGACGGGACTGCACCAGCTGAAGCTCCTCCTCTGTGCTTATGGCGTAGCCTGCCCCCTTCACCTGCTCAATGACTCGCGCAAGGTTCAATGAGTCAACACTCCCAGGCTTGGACGTGACCCCATCCAGCAGCCCTTGAATGTAGTCGTAGAAGTAGGCGGGAGAGTCGCACACAGAGTAGGCATGCACACAGGAAGAAGAGAGGGAGCTCAGATGCACTCCCAGCGCCAACCCTGCTGAGGTGCCGCCACTGAGGGAGTTGGTGTGGGGGTAGCATGGAAGCAGGGAAATGGGGAAGCAGGGAAGTGTGGGAATTAATAGGAGAGTCGCACACAAAGTAGGCATGCACACGGGTAGAAGAGAGGCTGCTCAGATGCACTCCCAGCGCTAACCCTGCTGAGGTGCTGCCACTGGAGGTGTTTTAGAAGTGAGATATGGAGGGAGGGGTTGTCAAGAAAGGGGGAAGCAGCCAAAAAGTGTCGCACACAGCAAGGCATGTGCGTGAAGTGAATGTCGTCTGATGCATCTCCCCTCATCACGGCATTAAGCACTCACCTGCCACACGCCATGGCAATATCGTCAAACCCTGAAGCACCCCCCGCCTCGCCTTTGCCCAGCTGCAGGCACACACCAACACATGCTCTCATCCCCCCAATTGTTTCTCCCTTCATCACAGCACTGAGCTCTCACCTGCCACACGCCATGGCAATATCGTCAAACCCTGAAGCACCCCCCCCCTCGCCTTTGCCCAGTTGCTGCTCGATCTCTCTCACTGCCTCCATATAACCCCTGGTGAGACCGACATGGAAAGGGAGTGGTAACCAGGTAATATGTAGCAAGATGGTTGAAATATATTAGAAGAATCTACTTCACTCACAAGCCACCATACATTGACTTACTCCCAGACAGGATGACATACGGCTTTCTTCCCTCTGCTGCTAGCCGTTCTTTTGAGGTGATAGCTGTTCGTGTGCTTTACTGGGTTCTCACCAGGTGCCAAGGGCGTTGGAGCCCCCAACAGGGATGACATACGGCTTCCTTCCCTCTGCTGCTAGCCGTTCTTTTGAGGTGATAGCTGTTCGTGTGCTTTACTGGGTTCTCACCAGGTGCCAAGGGCGTTGGAGCCCCCAACAGGGATGGCATACGGCTTCCTTCCCTCTGCTGCTAGCCGTTCTTTTGAGGTGATAGCTGTTCGTGTGCTTTACTGGGTTCTCACCAGGTGCCAAGGGCGTTGGAGCCCCCAACAGGGATGACGTACGGCTTCCTTCCCTCTGCTGCTAGCCGTAGAGCAAGCACCTTCCCCAGGTGCTGCATGGGGGAAACAAGGAGAGGCGGGGGAATGAGAAGGGTTCAAGGAGTGAGTCTTTACAATTGGTACATCGGAGCATCGGTCCCCAACTGGGATGACATACGTCTTCTTTTCTTCCTGGTTTTTGAGAATTCTCAAACTGTTTTTTTAGATTTCTCAAAAACCAGCTCGTATCATATGATCTCCCATTTCCTCGTTTTTTACTCGCTTGGAAGTTACAAAAAAAGTTACAGAACTTTTTGGTTGAAGCGAGATTTTCCTCAAGGTAGCAATGTGTTTTCTTAGTTCGAGACAAGTACATCGGAGCATCGGTCCTCAACTGGGATGACATAGGGCTTCTTTTCTTCCTTCACACTCCTTAAATCGACTCCAACAGTCCCCTCCCCCAACCCGTCGCCTCGTTGCCATGCTTGGCGTATTCCTCTTTGGTCACCAGATGCACACTCGCCCCCACCATGCGCTGCTGCGGCGGCAAGCACACCCACCCACCCACCTGCCCCCTTCCTCCCCCATCCCATCTCACCTCGCTGCCATGCTTGGCGTATTCCTCTTTTGTAACCAGATGCAACTTCGCCCCCACTATGCGCTCCACCAGCATATCTGCTCTGAGTCGACTCAAAACCTCCCTCTCTCCCTCACTTTCCCCACATGCCCCACCCACTTCCCACCTCACCTCGCTGCCATGTTTGGCGTACTCCTCCTTGGTAACCAGATGCACCCTCGCCCCCACCATGCGCTCCACCAGCAAATTTCCTTCCAGGCCCGGATCGGAATCTGCTAGAGCCTGGTTATGAGGGGCCGAAGGGACCAAGAACACGGGGTAAAAGAATGGAAGGGGAAACAGTGAAGGGAAAAAGGTTACCGCCAAGGCATGCACCCTCGCCCCCACCATGCGCTCCACCAGCAGGTTGCCCTCCAGGCCCGGATCAGAGCCTGCCAGCGCCTGGTGAGGGGGGAAAGAAGGAGGATATTCACATGCAAGGTATGCACCTTTACACATGCACCCTCACCAGATGCTCCCTCGCCCCCACCATGCGCTCCACCAGCAGACTGCCCTCCAGGCCCGGATCAGCACCTGCGAGCGCCTGTTGAGAGGAAATAGAGGGCGGAGCATTAAGGGAGAGAAGCAGTGAAGGAACGACAGCAGGAAGCTTGTATGTATGCACCTTCGCCTCCACCAGCAGATTGCCCTCCAGGCCTGGATCAGAGCCTGCCAGCGCCTGATGGGGGGATACGGGAAGAGTGAAGGGGAGATGGTGAAGGGGAAAGGCTATTGCCACAGGATGCACCCTCGCTGCCCCCACCATCCGCTCAACCAGCAGATTGCCTTCCAGGCCCGGATCAGAGCCTGCAAGCGCCTGGTCATGAGGGGATACGGGAAGAGTGATGGGGAGATAGACTTTTGAGACGTCTCAAAGGAAGAGTGATGGGGAGATAGACTTTTGAGACGTCTCAAAGGAAGAGTGATGGGGAGATAGACTTTTGAGACGTCTCAAAGGAAGAGTGATGGGGAGATAGACTTTTGAGACGTCTCAAAGGAAGAGTGATGGGGAGATAGACTTTTGAGACGTCTCAAAGGAAGAGTGATGGGGAGATAGACTTTTGAGACGTCTCAAAGGAAGAGTGATGGGGAGATAGACTTTTGAGACGTCTCAAAGGAAGAGTGATGGGGAGATAGACTTTTGAGACGTCTCAAAGGAAGAGTGATGGGGAGATAGACTTTTGAGACGTCTCAAAGGAAGAGTGATGGGGAGATAGACTTTTGAGACGTCTCAAAGGAAGAGTGATGGGGAGATAGACTTTTGAGACGTCTCAAAGGAAGAGTGATGGGGAGATAGACTTTTGAGACGTCTCAAAGGAAGAGTGATGGGGAGATAGACTTTTGAGACGTCTCAAAGGAAGAGTGATGGGGAGATAGACTTTTGAGACGTCTCAAAGGAAGAGTGATGGGGAGATAGACTTTTGAGACGTCTCAAAGGAAGAGTGATGGGGAGATAGACTTTTGAGACGTCTCAAAGGAAGAGTGATGGGGAGATAGACTTTTGAGACGTCTCAAAGGAAGAGTGATGGGGAGATAGACTTTTGAGACGTCTCAAAGGAAGAGTGATGGGGAGATAGACTTTCGAGACGTCTCAAAGGAAGAGTGATGGGGAGATAGACTTTTGAGACGTCTCAAAGGAAGAGTGATGGGGAGATAGACTTTCGAGACGTCTCAAAGGAAGAGTGATGGGGAGATAGACTTTTGAGACGTCTCAAAGGAAGAGTGATGGGGAGATAGACTTTTGAGACGTCTCAAAGGAAGAGTGATGGGGAGATAGACTTTTGAGACGTCTCAAAGGAAGAGTGATGGGGAGATAGACTTTCGAGACGTCTCAAAGGAAGAGTGATGGGGAGATAGACTTTTGAGACGTCTCAAAGGAAGAGTGATGGGGAGATAGACTTTTGAGACGTCTCAAAGGAAGAGTGATGGGGAGATAGACTTTTGAGACGTCTCAAAGGAAGAGTGATGGGGAGATAGACTTTTGAGACGTCTCAAAGGAAGAGTGATGGGGAGATAGACTTTTGAGACGTCTCAAAGGAAGAGTGATGGGGAGATAGACTTTTGAGACGTCTCAAAGGAAGAGTGATGGGGAGATAGACTTTTGAGACGTCTCAAAGGAAGAGTGATGGGGAGATAGACTTTCGAGACGTCTCAAAGGAAGAGTGATGGGGAGATAGACTTTTGAGACGTCTCAAAGGAAGAGTGATGGGGAGATAGACTTTTGAGACGTCTCAAAGGAAGAGTGATGGGGAGATAGACTTTCGAGACGTCTCAAAGGAAGAGTGATGGGGAGATAGACTTTTGAGACGTCTCAAAGGAAGAGTGATGGGGAGATAGACTTTTGAGACGTCTCAAAGGAAGAGTGATGGGGAGATAGACTTTCGAGACGTCTCAAAGGAAGAGTGATGGGGAGATAGACTTTTGAGACGTCTCAAAGGAAGAGTGATGGGGAGATAGACTTTTGAGACGTCTCAAAGGAAGAGTGATGGGGAGATAGACTTTTGAGACGTCTCAAAGGAAGAGTGATGGGGAGATAGACTTTTGAGACGTCTCAAAGGAAGAGTGATGGGGAGATAGACTTTTGAGACGTCTCAAAGGAAGAGTGATGGGGAGATAGACTTTTGAGACGTCTCAAAGGAAGAGTGATGGGGAGATAGACTTTTGAGACGTCTCAAAGGAAGAGTGATGGGGAGATAGACTTTTGAGACGTCTCAAAGGAAGAGTGATGGGGAGATAGACTTTTGAGACGTCTCAAAGGAAGAGTGATGGGGAGATAGACTTTTGAGACGTCTCAAAGGAAGAGTGATGGGGAGATAGACTTTCGAGACGTCTCAAAGGAAGAGTGATGGGGAGATAGACTTTTGAGACGTCTCAAAGGAAGAGTGATGGGGAGATAGACTTTTGAGACGTCTCAAAGGAAGAGTGATGGGGAGATAGACTTTTGAGACGTCTCAAAGGAAGAGTGATGGGGAGATAGACTTTTGAGACGTCTCAAAGGAAGAGTGATGGGGAGATAGACTTTTGAGACGTCTCAAAGGAAGAGTGATGGGGAGATAGACTTTCGAGACGTCTCAAAGGAAGAGTGATGGGGAGATAGACTTTTGAGACGTCTCAAAGGAAGAGTGATGGGGAGATAGACTTTTGAGACGTCTCAAAGGAAGAGTGATGGGGAGATAGACTTTTGAGACGTCTCAAAGGAAGAGTGATGGGGAGATAGACTTTTGAGACGTCTCAAAGGAAGAGTGATGGGGAGATAGACTTTTGAGACGTCTCAAAGGAAGAGTGATGGGGAGATAGACTTTTGAGACGTCTCAAAGGAAGAGTGATGGGGAGATAGACTTTTGAGACGTCTCAAAGGAAGAGTGATGGGGAGATAGACTTTTGAGACGTCTCAAAGGAAGAGTGATGGGGAGATAGACTTTTGAGACGTCTCAAAGGAAGAGTGATGGGGAGATAGACTTTTGAGACGTCTCAAAGGAAGAGTGATGGGGAGATAGACTTTTGAGACGTCTCAAAGGAAGAGTGATGGGGAGATAGACTTTCGAGACGTCTCAAAGGAAGAGTGATGGGGAGATAGACTTTTGAGACGTCTCAAAGGAAGAGTGATGGGGAGATAGACTTTTGAGACGTCTCAAAGGAAGAGTGATGGGGAGATAGACTTTTGAGACGTCTCAAAGGAAGAGTGATGGGGAGATAGACTTTTGAGACGTCTCAAAGGAAGAGTGATGGGGAGATAGACTTTTGAGACGTCTCAAAGGAAGAGTGATGGGGAGATAGACTTTCGAGACGTCTCAAAGGAAGAGTGATGGGGAGATAGACTTTTGAGACGTCTCAAAGGAAGAGTGATGGGGAGATAGACTTTTGAGACGTCTCAAAGGAAGAGTGATGGGGAGATAGACTTTTGAGACGTCTCAAAGGAAGAGTGATGGGGAGATAGACTTTTGAGACGTCTCAAAGGAAGAGTGATGGGGAGATAGACTTTTGAGACGTCTCAAAGGAAGAGTGATGGGGAGATAGACTTTTGAGACGTCTCAAAAGAAGAGTGATGGGGAGATAGACTTTCGAGACGTCTCAAAGGAAGAGTGATGGGGAGATAGACTTTCGAGACGTCTCAAAGGAAGAGTGATGGGGAGATAGACTTTTGAGACGTCTCAAAGGAAGAGTGATGGGGAGATAGACTTTTGAGACGTCTCAAAGGAAGAGTGATGGGGAGATAGACTTTTGAGACGTCTCAAAGGAAGAGTGATGGGGAGATAGACTTTTGAGACGTCTCAAAGGAAGAGTGATGGGGAGATAGACTTTTGAGACGTCTCAAAGGAAGAGTGATGGGGAGATAGACTTTTGAGACGTCTCAAAGGAAGAGTGATGGGGAGATAGACTTTTGAGACGTCTCAAAGGAAGAGTGATGGGGAGATAGACTTTTGAGACGTCTCAAAGGAAGAGTGATGGGGAGATAGACTTTTGAGACGTCTCAAAGGAAGAGTGATGGGGAGATAGACTTTTGAGACGTCTCAAAGGAAGAGTGATGGGGAGATAGACTTTTGAGACGTCTCAAAGGAAGAGTGATGGGGAGATAGACTTTTGAGACGTCTCAAAAGAAGAGTGATGGGGAGATAGACTTTTGAGACGTCTCAAAGGAAGAGTGATGAGGAGATAGACTTTCGAGACGTCTCAAAGGAAGAGTGATGGGGAGATAGACTTTTGAGACGTCTCAAAGGAAGAGTGATGGGGAGATAGACTTTTGAGACGTCTCAAAGGAAGAGTGATGGGGAGATAGACTTTTGAGACGTCTCAAAGGAAGAGTGATGGGGAGATAGACTTTTGAGACGTCTCAAAGGAAGAGTGATGGGGAGATAGACTTTTGAGACGTCTCAAAGGAAGAGTGATGGGGAGATAGACTTTTGAGACGTCTCAAAGGAAGAGTGATGGGGAGATAGACTTTTGAGACGTCTCAAAGGAAGAGTGATGGGGAGATAGACTTTTGAGACGTCTCAAAGGAAGAGTGATGGGGAGATAGACTTTTGAGACGTCTCAAAGGAAGAGTGATGGGGAGATCGACTTTCGAGACGTCTCAAAGGAAGAGTGATGGGGAGATAGACTTTTGAGACGTCTCAAAGGAAGAGTGATGGGGAGATAGACTTTCGAGATGTCTCAAAGGAAGAGTGATGGGGAGATAGACTTTTGAGACGTCTCAAAGGAAGAGTGATGGGGAGATAGACTTTTGAGACGTCTCAAAGGAAGAG